ATTTAAGAAGCCAGTTGCTTTGGATGGATGTCTAGTATTCAGGAAATGTAATAATGTAGTTCGAATAGTGAATAAAGTGCCCCGGTATTCCTCAAAAGTTTGACGACGTTACTCAGACTTGATTGTTATATGCATACTGAGACATACTAAAATCGTTAATTTTCATACTCAAATTCATGAGTTCTACTAACCATCAGAGGAGCGAACGATGTTTTTCCCACGTGTGAGAAAAATGATACGTTCAATCAAAAGCCACAGCAGTGCATCAGTGCTTGCGGCCTCGCCTCGCCTGTTGCCTCGCAGTCTTTCCACTACTAAATTTGTTGAGTCCGTAAACGAGAGTTTTACTCTCAGAAAAGTGTTAAGGTGATTCCTTAGTAAAAGAATTTAACATAGAATGTAAACGAAACTTGGTACACTGATGAAAGAAGTCAAGAAGATGATAAAAAAGTAATTAAAAGTGGGGGTCACCGTGCTCGTTTTCACATCACAATGCTGGCAAATATGGCTGTTTTGGACCCTTTGTCAAGTTTCACGCGCAGACCAAAACTAGACAAAAAGGAGAGATTTTTTCAATGGTGCATATGGTATCCCACAGAATTTGACTTAAATGCATTGTTTATCCACTTACATACCATAAAAATGCATTTTAATGCCTTTGTTTTTAGTTTACTCCTCATAGTAGACTTAATTTAAACATTGGCTATTCGACCCGTTGTAGCTCAATCCGTAAAATTTACTAAAATTGCCAAAAAATTGAAGATAGATTTGTGCCATTTTTTTTCATTGAAAGGAAGCAAAAAAATTCAAAAACATCGCATATTTCAATATCGTTTCTCTTCAGCCTACTTCATTTTAATAATGTTTCTTTAATGCTCTTTTTCACGGCGGCCATCTTGTTATACATAGTAAGCGGTGCGCAGTGGGAAACCAGCGAATCACCTTAACAACGATCCTTAATAGCGGGGCTCGCGCGCGCGCATAGCGGGCCACCATAGCTAAGAAAATCTGGTTATCTATGTATCCAAGAAATTCCGGTTCTTAGAAAATCGTCCGTACGTACGTCCGTCTACCCGTTCATGTAACCGGGGGTGAAAGTTTGCTTTTCAAGCACCACGCGCGTTTTGGCGGTAAGAGAGCGAGAAATAAAAAACAACGAAGGCCAATTTCTTTGGACGAAAAACATGAAAATTTCATAGCGGCGGTGAGAAAATGAGAAATGCTAGCGGTCATCAAGGTGAAAATGAGCTGCAGTGAAAAAGAATTGAACAGGAACACATACATTTCCTCCATAAAACGTGTAACAGGGAAGTTTGTGGAATTTTTATCGTTGTAGTCGTGCAAAACAACAGCAAATATACAAAGAAGTGTGCTGCACGTGCAAAGTTGATATTTTTGTGGCTGATTAGACCAATTGTTGTTGTTGGTTGTCCTCTTCGTTTCTTGAACATGACACGATTTTATTTTATTTTTTTTTTTGAGTAAACTATAAATATTAAAGAGAGCTTCGCTTTTATCCCTGGCAGAAATTTTCGCGCGTTATGACTGGCTCCCGTAACTCGGAATATCCTTGGCTATTTGCGACCGGAGCCAAGATGGCGTCTTGTTCTGAGACATTTCTGGCAGACGAAATTTTAGCGATGAATGAAGTAGTCGAACAAACGAATGCCAAGAAAGCGACGAACTTTGGCTTGTCGGTGTTCACTAGTAGGTAGAAAATTATTTTCATGCTGAATTTGCAGCAAAAGTCGTAAAAATCACAAATGTTTGTAAATTGTAAACAAAGTTCATACTAAGTGACGTTTTCAATTTTTCAAAAGGTTATTTTCTTCATTTTTAACCAACTGACTTGGTAAATACTAAAACAACTATCCCTCTCAGGGTTGGTGAACAGCGCTAGATACATATATATACTGGTATATCTACCACCATTCACCGGAATAGTTGTATAACATTAGAAAATTGTAAAGAGCATACAAAACAACAATATCACGTGAAAAGTGCTTTGCACTGTAGCCGCTTAAACGTTGTTTTCATGTAAAAAACAAAACAAAACAAGAAAAGACGTCTCACTCGTTCGCTGCTCTCTCTCAATCGATTTGTCAATAACTCGTGCTTAAATGACGTTCCGTGCGCATTACTGCCAACGAGCGGCCTCGCGAAGACGCGAGGCTGCGAGGCGGCAGCCTAATAGAGCCGTGCGCGATAGTTCCAGGGGCAGAAAAAATCTCGAATCCATGTAGTAGTAATGTATAGTAATGTAATGTAAGGCAACATTAATTACTTAATGAAGAACAGAGGAAGTATTGTTATTGAGCGATACGTGATACAGAACAGAGAATCCACGAGCCGTGTCCATACTTGTGAGTCCCGTGTTCATCCCGACTTATTCCTACTTGCATCATGCGCGTACGGCTGCGCATGTGCCCGCTGGAATTTGTTATTGCATGCCGCTAAGAAAAATAATAACGCCGTGAAATGTTTTGCCTTTGAAGTAAAATTAATAATTCGGAAGGGTTCATTAGCGCACCATTATTCTGTACGTTGAATATTCGCGGACTTTAATATGATCTTTTTGAGGATTCTAAGTTTGCTTAGAAGACCACTAAATTTTACGTAAAATGACATGTGCGCAACTTCCGACAAAAATACGAACTTCAGTATTTCGAATAATTTGCTATGTAAAGTCGGGATTTCAAATTCTTTATGCAGTAGAACAGTTTAGTTAACTATTTTCAAAAGACAAACTTAAAGCAAGGGGCACACATACACCAACCCATGATCCGCCTTCCCCCCTGCTGTCCATGGTTGCCACTGCCCGCCTGATATGGCTGTGCGCATGTGTGAGCTACTGACCAGGCCGTGGCTTGGTGGATGTGTGCCTCTTGCTTAAGTTTGCGCTATTTTCAAGGTGATGTGCTCTTATGCAATCGAATTAAGTTCAATCTATTTTTCATAAATTACTGTAATTCATGACATTTCTAAACAAATTGAACAGCTCGCGCGCACAGGGAAAATCTTTGCTCGCTGGCACTTAGCGATAGTTATAACTAGTATATTCTAGATATTTTATAACCTCTATGGAGGATGGGATGTAGTCGTGAATTTTAAGGGCCTGTTTACAGGGCGTTGGGGGACCCCAGGAAGGTGAGGTAACACGCTTAGGTGGGGTAACCAGCCTGTTCATATAATCTCTCATTTTAATTTGATTGCGTTTACATGATTGGTGGGGTGACCCGCCAAATCTTATCTCACCTATCTGAGATACCCCACCTCTATGTAAACAGGCCCTAAGATAATCAATTTTTCTCTTCTTTCTTCCTTGGCATTGATTTCATGACAGATAGGGTACTGGGCCAAGCTTTGTTAGAAAGCATTCAATGAACAAATATGCAACGGGGGTGGACTCGAGGGCAATCCAGTACTATGGACTCAGTAACTCTCTTCGGGAAAAACTTTGTTGCTGGCAATTATAAAGAACCGTCGGCGTGAATTGTTAAGCCTCTTCCATAATGTTATATATGAGAGTTTTCTTATTTCATAGCAAGTATCCAACTTCATTGGTCACCACTACTCGCTACTATCCCGGATTCTATCCATACTAATTATAAAACCTCTTGTGATTGACCAACTCGCCCGGCTGTTTTCGATAAAACAGTCTGAGTGGTCTCCTTTTAGAAAGACCTACTCTATAAAAAAAGAAAAATAATTAATTCATTGTTGGCACAAACACCTTAAAGGATGTGCACTTTACTGGCTTGAATGAGATTGTTGTCTTGTGCTATGTCCATAATTGTATTGTATTGTTATTTATTTACCCACGAAGTACTTGATAGGAGTTCTTAAAAACTCATTTAAATGTTTCCCTGCGTTCAAGATCGAATAGGAATTTCAGTTGGAGGTGTTGGTTTTTGAGGAGAGTGCCCGGAAAAAAAACCTCTCGGAGCAAGGGAGAGATTCAGATTTCAGATTTTTTTTTTATTGCACTATTTCAATAGTTTACTAAAAATTACAATACATTACAGAAGTAAAATAAAACAGCATTAATATACATAAATCATCAAAGGTGAAATGTGCGCAGTGACCCAAGGAGCTTATTCTTTCTTGTTGGTCACTGCCACGTGCAACCTACTGGCGTAGACATTTTAGTGGCGTATAATAGAGCAGGAAAATTAAAAGTGCATAAAGTTATACAATTTTATATAGATATATAAAACAATGGAAATGATAATTGATAGTGAGGGCAGAGAAATCAAATTACTCATTGAGTATTTAAAAGGTACAGTTTGTATTGCTTGTAGAAGCTATTATAAGGAAGTTTTTCTTAATTTAGAGGAAATCCCAGATATTAGAACCAGCAAAAGCAAAAGTGGCATCTCCATAATTACGCATTTAAATTAGGACACGTGTCAAATATGAACCTAGTATATGGCCTCGCTCTCGATGAGTTCTCCGTAGCTGAAGTGGATAATGGATAGAGCGCCAGCCCAGTGTTTGGGAGGTCATAGGTTCGAATCCTGTCGAGGACTCAGATTTATTCTTTGTCCCATTTCCACATTTGTCCATTTGTTTCAACAAGCTTAAAATTTACCATCCTTTATTCTTTCACCCTACTTGCAACTATATGATCTATACAGGCTAATGATTATTTTAAGTTAAGATTTTACTTGGAAAGAAACTGCGAAGTAGTCTTTCAGTCCTGCACACAACCCTCCCTTAGGAAGATGTTTAGAGAGAGGCCCCCTTTTTGAAAGTGTTCACTCATAGTTCACTAAGTCTTTCGTCTTTCTAGGAAAGTTAAGAAAAAGGGCAACCATGTAAGTACCCTGCGAGCAGAGGCCCTTCGAGCTTCCTAGATAAGTCCGGACTTATCTAGGAAGATCGAAGGGCCTCTGCTCGCAGGGTACCATGTAAGTAACCATGAGCAAAATTGTTATCCATGAGGGAGACGACGAGTATCATCGCATTTTCAGGTAGAAGCCCCCCCCCCCCCCCCCCTAAAATGGAGGCTGTCTTTCAAGATAGTCAGATATCCTGAACTTTATCTTCAAATCCCTCGAAAGTATTCTGCAAGGTATCTGTTACTCTTATTCGTTTGTTTAAGAAGTTGTCCCCATCTTGAATAAACCTCAGGTCGTCCTCAAGCGATCTCTTGACTCCGCGAATTCTCAAGTTAGATGTTTCTCTCAGGCCACTTATTCCATCAATTTCCACTTCTTGCGTTTTCTCCTATAATGAATAATAACGACATTCGAGTTTACATTTTTCATAAAAATACTCTCTATATTAAACAGATTTATCTTCAATTTAAGAGGCCTTGAAAACATGCTATAATGTTTAAATCACAAAAAATTTCTAGGTACATACATATACGTCTGCATTATTGACTGATTTTAAAGTAGCCGTGCGCCCCATCACATCAGCAATACAGTTTTGTTTCAGTGTAATACACGGGTTGTCATTTGCTTTGTTGTTGTTCATTTGGACCACACCGAGATCAGTGTGTAAAGAAACATTTTTCTTACAATTTCAGTGAGCGTTATTGCCTGGTCGTCAGGTTCACTTAATTCAAGTGCATTCTGTCAGGCTTTCTCCGCAGGGCTCGGTTTATCCGAGGATCTTGCTTCATTCCAATTTTCTTTGCATTAATGAATTCAAGTGGGGAGTGAACCAGGCCAGATGAGATCTTGAATTTCTATCTCCAAGATATCGATCTACCGTATTGAAAGTTCCCCATATAAACACTTCAGTCTGTTTTGGGGCAAAACCTATTTCAACTACGGGGGCGCCCCTGTTTTGCAAAAAGCGGTAATATACTGAATGATATTAAAACTTGCAGTGAAGATAATTGAGAGTTTTTCATGACGCGAAAAACCAAGTTAGAAGTGGAAAATTCATGGTGTACCACGAGAAAGTATCGCATAGTTAATAATTTATCTCATGCACTCATCACGACCACTATCTGGTCTGTGTATGGCGGGAAAATGAGAAGGCCGCAAGCATCCCAGGGATTTTTTTTCGGGAAATAATACCCATTGTGTACCTAGCCAATCAGGGATAAGCAATTTTTTAACATACCTGGTGTATATTCCTGAGCCTGTTTACAAAGAAGTCCTGGACTGCTTTAATCTCTTGATCGCTTGTGGGCCAAACATACTTCAACCACTCAGAGACATCGGTACACGGTAATACACTGTTTAACACTGGAACTCCAACCGCAGAAAACAGAGCTGGATGTGACAAAAAACCGTAAGGTCTTGTGTTATTGTTATGTGTTTATTAATTCAGGTTGAAGCTGCTTGAAACACCAACAGCAATAAAATAATTACAAACGCCCCTGGATGTCATAATTTTAACAAACAACCATTTTTATCGAAATACGCTGTCGGTCTAAAACTAGAACGTAGTATCTAAGAGATATTGATCATCTCGTTAGCTTTCGGTGGATTAATTTTGCAATATGGCTTTCATTTTTTATTTGTAGTTTTATCCGTAACGCAAATTGTTTAGTTGTGACGAAATAAGAAAACAAGAGCTGTATTTAAGTAATTCTTCAGCGGCAGGAGAACACTTTCAACACTTACCCGCGTTCCCCCCCACAGTCATTGCTCCGAGCAGCCCATAACATATCATTCTGGCTGGCAAACTTGGGTTAACCAAGCATGAACGTAAACTATTATCCTGGAAAGAATTCTCGTTCAGTTGGAAATCTTCGCTTCTCCACATGGGCTGATTCAGTTGGAGAGACAGTCTGCCTGGCCCATCTGCGACTTGCGTCAAACAATTCCATATTTCATCTAAGTGCGTCTTCAGCTCTCTGTCTTGTTCCACCATCTCCTGTAGTCGCTGATTAAGGCCATCGCGACATCTTTCTAAAGCATTCTTCGTTGAAACTCGGTTCCGCAGATCGCGTTCTATTTGATCTTTGAATGCCCTCAATTCGCGGTCTTGCTGAAGACGCCCCATGACGTCAATAAGGGCGCCTGAAATTTGGGAGAGATGGGTGTTTATGGTTGTTTCTGCATCAGAGATGTTCCTCATCCTTCGTGAGACTCGCTGTATTCGTTGCTGTTTGCGTTGATCCATTATTCTACCCAAGTTAGCTGATTGGGTCTTTGCTTCCTCTACAAATTTTTGCAGGTCGTACTTCAACGTGTCAAACTTTAGGGCTCCTTTTGAGGCTTCGATCAAGTTTCGTTCAAATTCTTCAAATCCTTTTGAACCTTCCGTTTCTTCCGCTGATTTGGAACTTGTGAACTGCGTACTGTGAGTGGGCGTAGTTTCAATCTACAAATAAAGTTTGCAAGTCATTGACCAGGGCATTCATGCCGGAGATAAAGATCTGCACTAATGGCTAAGACCTTCATGGGCAGTTTGTTGGCCAGTTTATTCAGTAATCAGAAAAGCATTTTAAGGCATTTATTCTGTGATCAGTCTGAGAAAGGGCTAGGAAATGAGGGTGATGGTGATGATGATGTTCTTCAACTACACTTGGTTTAAATTTTTTTTTGATTTTTTCCATGTGTGGGTGTCAAAAAAAAAAATGATTTGTGTAAGGTGAATATGTGATGAAACAAAACCCAAACAATTGAATTAAGTATAACTTTGAATGTAGGATGGCATTTACAAAACAGGGAGTTTAAGATTAAGGGGCAGTGTGACCAGGATTTAGCACCGACTTTAGTGACTTTAGCTAAGAACGGATAAAGATGAAGTGCAGTTAATCTTTGTCAGTTGGAAGGACTCTATCCATCCTTGCTTGTGGTTTCACCCATTTTGAAAAAAAAAAAAACACTGATGTAGTTAGCACGAAAGTACTAATTGCTAATTGAGGTCATTATTTACGAGTAGCAATTGGAAATTTGATACAAAGGTAATATAAAAAACTAAATGGGCCAATAATTAGAAAGGATTAAGACAAATGAGTTTGGTAACTGGAAACTTAAAAAAAAACAAATAACAAAATAAATAAAATAATAAAATAAAATAAGAGGTAAAAATTTAAAAATTAAAATTAAAAATAAAAAATAAAAAATAAAAATATTGGAAATAATAAAAAATATATAAACAAATATAATCATAATCGTAATAACAATAATAATAAAATAAACTAATATAAAATAAAGGATATAATAATAATGAAATGAATGAGTACATAAATGGCTTAACGGTCGTCCTCTCTGTTTATTCCCTGTGGCTTCACAGTTTGTGCCTTTTCAATGGAAAAACGTTCGCGGGCTCTACGTATGGATTCTCTTTTGGCGTTGATAAGTTCGATGTCTTTAAGTTGGTGTCCGGGTTGATAAAAAGGCTACGGTACGACGTCGTCAATTTTGTTTTGTATCGCTCTGCGGTGTTCTCCAAATCTGTCTCTTAAGGCTCGTTTAGTCTGTCCGATGTATTCCGCTGGACATTGATTTAAGATAACCGTAGAGAAGCCCATCATGCCAATCCGAATTCAAAGCTTTCCTAAAGTCTACAAACCACGGGTATATTTTCTCCTAGTGGCAATGGACATATTTATTTATTAATGTTCAAAGTGCTGTTCTATTATTTGTTTTACTATTATGCAAATGCTACGCGCGATGTGATTGGTCGTTGCCCATGATCTGTTAGAGTATAGATACATGGATGACGTCACGGGAAATTTGTTTTCTTTGTTTTGTTCAACATAACGCGCGGTTTTGAAAATGTTTGTGAGATTTTTTTGGATTCAAGCGAGTGAAAACCTCGAAAAAGTTTAGCAGGAGCTATTTACAAAGAAGAAAAATGGAGAAACGGAAAAAAAAGCTCTTGACTACTTGGGAATGCCTAAATTACAAGAAATCTTCACAACAGTCGCCATCGTGTGTCCTCTCTACGAGAGACTCGCTGTTTTGCAAAATGTTTTCGCCATTATTCTCCCTTGTGCAAGAAAAAACAAGAAAGAAAAAGAAGAAAGAAAAAACAACAGTGACACACTCGCCTGTGGCTCGAGTGCTACTTCTCTGTTTTACAACATTTTGACGTCATCTGTGATTTTATTACTGAACAGATGCACGGCAACATGGAATCTATTTGTTAAAAATTTGAATTTGAGACTTGTGAAGTATATTATGCTAGTCAACGTGTTTAAGAAGTCTCTGATTGAGAATTGAGCAAAATAGTTTTCCACTACAACTGGAAATACAAATTCCCCGGTAGTTTGATGGATCGTTTTTAGTAGTATTAATTTAAGACTTGGTATAATATAGGGCCATCACACCACGTTTGGGGCATAGTTCCAAGTAAGTCGAAGACCGTGTTAAATAGTTTTATAAACAGGCACTTATTAGTTTAGGCTAGATCTGGTCATTTCGTTTTTGAGGTTGTCTGAAATATAAGAATTGTTGTTTTTGCGAATTTCATTTTCAGTAATGAGGTAATCCAAGGAGTGAGATCGTGTTATAATATCTACTACATTCTGCAACTCATCAATAATTGCCTCTTAATGTTCATTAAGGGGTTCATTCGAGTGTAGAGATTGAGAGTGGGACATCCATTTCCCCTCAGAAATTGGAGGGGTGTAGATTTCCTTCATCGTGTCGTCTATTGACTCCAAACAGTTCCAAAAGCTCTTACTGTCCGAGTGTCCGACAGTATTTTCAAGTTCACAGACCTTGTCGGCTATGGTATTCGTTTCTCTTATGTTTTAAAAGGTTTTATATTGCTTTAAGACGTTGTGATATTCTTCCCTGAGGGTAACACTTACCTTAATAGAGGAATGCGCTCTTGCTTTCCTCTGTGAATGAGAGTCAACAAAATAAACTTTTCCTCTGTCCGCCACAGCCTTCATGAATTCTGTAATACAACGCTCCTTGATGTCTTCTGTTGTTACATCTCCATACTCCTCAGAAAAGTTATCTCCTCTGAACATGTCCCACTTAGTAAAGGCTCCAAGAGTGAAGGAGCAGTTTACAGACGTCACGAAGTCAATGACCTGTATCAAAGGCAGCTACTTATTGTAACGAAGGATGAAAATATGGTGGCTTAATTTTATCCTTTTTTCAAAGTTTCTCATTTCTTGTTATGTCTGGGATGTTATGTTTGAAAACGGCTTTTAGGTTAATAAAATTTAAACTTGAGGGGAAATTGAGCAACAAGAGTCACATAGTCCAAAATCAGCAATTCGAAATAGCAAATGAATGCTTCCCAAAGGAACATTGTTTTCAAATTCTCTGAGCTTTTAATAAAATAGCCTAACACTAGTCATCTCTCCCTTGTTAAAACTTTCCCAGCAGCTCAGATATACAAAATTCCCATATTCACTTCCATTGGAGATAGATAGTTTCTTCTCAATCAGTCAAGAGGCTCCCTTCTCCCATCCTTGTATAATTGATCAAGATGGCGGCCCATATGATCCAGGCGATTGCAAAATAACAATCTACTGACCAGTATGAATTTCGAACTGGTGAGAATAAGCTCAGGAATCAGTTTGATCTTACCCTTATAGTAAAGGTAAGATAAATAATTTATTGCTTCTTCGTGTGTGATACTTCTGTATATATGAAATACATGTCAGTAAAGAGTCCTTCTTATAGAACTTGTCACGGTTTTCGACGCCATCTTGACGAGTAGGCAAACGGGTGAAAAATTACGGTGTTTGTATGAGAATCTAATGTCGAATAATTTCCGTAGAACGGCTCGTTCTGAAAAAAAATAAAACATGGATTGTAGACTAAAGCTACAAAGCAAAGGATTGTACTGAAAAAATTGGGTGGGAAGTACCTGTGCTTAAATTTCTCCAGAGGCTTGCTTTAGATTTTCCATATATTTGTCTGTAATTTTTCCCGGGACTTTCTAACAGACAAATGTATGGATAATTTTAAAAAGTGGTTCTAGGTCTTCTAGCCCATGTAAAGCCTTCGATTTTTTCTGTAGAATCCGTAGGATTGAAGCTTTAGTTTACAATTCATATTTTTTTCAGAACGGCCGTTCTACGGAAATTATTCGACATTAGATTATCGATGGCGTCGAAAACCGTGACAAGGTCTATTCTAATAGGTGGTTTTCATAACAATGGTGAAATGAACAAAGGCTGGTGTACAAACAAAACGACGAGCACACGATTCAGTCTAGAAGGATATCATAATTTTCATTTTCTCTTACCGTTCGCAAAGTAGGGCTATGAATATCCATTACAGCGATAATCACATCTACAGTCTTGCAAAGATCGATAACAGCATCATCTGTATCCTTACGTTCGCCTATACCTGGAGTGTCATATAACACAACGCTTTCCACCAGGGCTTTGGCTCGGCTTGAAGGCCATTTAACATCTATGATGCTGGAAGGAGTAATGCCGAGTCTTTCCCTCTTATCTTTCGCTTTAAGTACGTGAAGAAGTTGTTTAAATTCGGTGATATCTAGCGTTTTGCCGGAGCGTCTGTCAATCGCTTTCCACTGGTCATCCATAGTCCCAGAGATCGCCACGTTACAAAAGGATGTTTCACCCCTTGTGACGGGCATGATATTTTCTCCCAGTAATGTGTTTATTAGAGTTGACTTGCCGGCGCTCACGGAGCCAACAAAGGCAATTTGTAGTTTGCTGTTTGCTCTTTCTGTTAGTTGAACAGCAGAAGCGTTTAGCTGATCCACTCGCTCGGAAACCATTTGAAAATCTCGCCATTCTTCGGAGGTTGTGCATTCGTCGTCAAGAAAGCTGCGAAGATCGTTTCTCGTTTCGATTAAGAGATTCAATGACCGTTCAAGTTGCTCTCTTGTTCGCTTGAGTTGGTCAACTCGTGGTGTAAAGTTGGCAAACATCCCTTGGCACAAACTTCACCAAGCGAAAACGTAAGAAGAACTGCTTGCTGGCAGGACAGTTTCAAAATGCAAATTGGCTTTAACAACTGGCAAGAAGACCTTTTTGAAATAATTAACCTTAAGACCTCAGTGATTTTTTTTTTCATATCGGTCACACACTTCGAAATATTATGTTGTTACTTAAAAAAAAAAGAAGAAGGCACTGAACAGCAAAAACCCATTCACTTTCAGGCGAACCATTTTTTAATTATTAATTACATACTTAGTGAAGAATCCGCATTCAGATTGGATTATCGCTAAAATAAGGACATATATATCGTAAACTCACTGCTAGATTTTAATACATGCAGTTATTACGTCAAAACTGGACTACTGTAGTAACTCTCTCTTATCTGGACTTCGACAGGGTCATATTAACAAACTTCAGTTTGTGCAAAATCAGCAGCACGTCTTTTGGCTGGCACCAGGAAACATCAATATATTTCACTCATTTTAAGGTCTCTTTATTGGTCGCCTGTTCCACGGAAGGCTGATCAGTGAACTTTTACTTCTTGCATTTAAATCACTAACGATGTAGCACCATCTTATATGAAAGATTTACTGTTTGTTCGTTATAGACCAAAAAGAACTTTGCGCTCTGTGAATAAAGGAATTAAAACTATGGTTACAGAGCCTTTTCAAACGCAGCACCTAAGGCCCGTTTCAAACGTCGTGCTACTGCCGTGCCAAACTCAATTGATCGAGATAAATTCGAGTTCAGCACGGCAATAGCGCGACGTTTGAAACCAAGTCGTGCTACTGCCGTGTAGCACGGCAAGCCTTGCCGTGCTACACGGCAGTCGGCTCGACTTGGTTTCAAACGTCGTGCTACCGCCGTGCCGAACTCAATTTACAAATTATAAATACATTAGAGTATATTTAAAAGTTTGCTAAACCGTTTCTTTATTTTTGTGTTTTGTTTTTGGCAACAGCCGTTCCATTCGACTGTCATTGTGTGAATTAAATTCGACGTCTGAAGCCGAGTCGTGCTAGTGTCGTGCTGCAGTCGAGCTGCAGTCGAGCTAGCTCAGCACGGCAGTAGCACGACGTTTGAAACAGGCCTAAGATATAAAATTTCATGTCAGTCAGTTTACGCAAATGTTTTGAGCTGAGCGCTTTCAAATCAAAAATCAAAACATATCTTTTTCAGCGTCCCTTTTAGTTGTAAGTCATGTTTTAGTAGGATTATTACTATTATACAATACAATACAATAATTTTTATTAACTCTCCCAAAGAGCTATTCTAAAGTTATTTTACAAATGCTAAAAAGAAGGGGATAAGAAGAAAAAACTTAAATTAATTACAATCTTGGTACAAAAGCTAAAAGCCTAAACTATGCGCGTACAATTACGTTATCTCTTTGGAGATCTCAACTAAATCAAATATCAACTATTTAACGCATGGGTTCTGCACCCGCAATTCGCGTTTGACGCTTCTCCTAAAGGTACACAGTGACGGGCTATTTCTAGTGTGTGCGGTCAGAGAGTTCCAGGCACTTACAGCGCGATAGTAACATGACCGTTGCGCGGTAACTGTTCTGTAAGTAAAGCGCTTTGGATCACCAAGAGGAAGGAGGTATATTACTGTATAAATTATTATTACTGTTGTTATTATTATCATCATCATCATCATCATCATCATCATCATCATCATCATGATCATCAACTTGCGGCAAATTAAGATAATGACATTTAGGGAGGCGACTTTCAGGAAAAGATCGGAATTCGCATTTTACCTTGTAAGAGACGGAAAACGAAATGTTTACCTCAATATATTGTATTAGCGTAATCATGATCAAGGCAAAGTCTTAAATTCCAATTCCATTAGAACACGTACCCAAACGTTTACAAAAGAGTTCTTGAGAGCTCCCATGTAATTTCTTCTCCTGCATGGCTTCGCCACTCGCCATCTCCCCTCCCTAACAAAACCACCAGCTACACAGGCTACTACGGATTTGTGGATATATTAACATTCTAAAGGATGACTTAATTTTATGACTTAGCCGACCAGGAAAGTATTTTGATGTCCTTGACGTCAGTATTCTCTTCCTCGGTATGAACTGTATAACAAGGAGCTCTTCATCTATTCGAATATTTAAACACCTAGCCGTTCAAGAATTTGAACGCCAAAATCGAGGTCAAATTTTGGGCCGATATGATTGAAAATTTGACTGGCGTGGTGTGAACACCATAATTATTGCCTAGAATTCTCTTGGGCAACAAATTTGATGGGTGCAGGGTGAACACTAGTCTCCTAAACAGCCGTTTTTAGTGTCGTCACGCAACGCTTCTCTCCAGTGGGGAGGAGCGTTGCGTGACGACTCTAAAAACGGCTGTACATGTGTAGCAGACTAGGTGAACACCAAAACCGTCTAAAAATCTAAGTGTTGAACGGGAAAGGTTTGGTTTCATGGATGCGTGGTAACTCAGCTGGGCTAGGAGACGCCATTTTGGATTTGCTGAAGTAGCACTCAGCGCGTTGACAGATGGTTGAACCTCTGACAAAAGTTAAAATTCAACTTGTTTCGTCAGTTCCACGTGAAAGGAAGTGAAAAGATTGAACCAAGAGAGAACGGCTTCAAGGACGAAGCGTCCGCTCAATTTTTTCCGCGGGTCAAAAATTCGTCCGGTTCCGCGTGAACGTAGCCCNATATTTAAACACCTAGCCGTTCAAGAATTTGAACGCCAAAATCGAGGTCAAATTTTGGGCCGATATGATTGAAAATTTGACTGGAGTGGTGTGAACACCATAATTATTGCCTAGAATTCTCTTGGGCAACAAATTTGATGGGTGCAGTGTTCACCTAGTCTGCTACACAGCCGTTTTTAGTGTCGTCACGCAACGCTTCTCTCCAGTGGGGAGGAGCGTTGCGTGACGACTCTAAAAACGGCTGTGTAGCAGACTAGGTGAACACCAAAACCGTCTAAAAATCTAAGTGTTGAACGGCGAAGGTTTGGTTTCATGGATGCGTGGTAACTCAGCTAGGAGACGCCATTTTGGATTTGCTGAAGTAGCACTCAGCGCGTTGACAGATGGTTGAACCTCTGACAAAAGTTAAAATTCAACTTGTTTCGTCAGTTCCACGTGAAAGGAAGTGAAAAGATTGAACCAAGAGAGAACGGCTTCAAGGACGAAGCGTCCGCTCAATTTTTTCCGCGGGTCAAAAATTCGTCCGGTTCCGCGTGAACGTAGCCCAAGCAAGAGAGGATAAAGGGGACAGAGAAGGGATCCCCCATACACACCCTATTTCATAGGTAATTCCTCTCGACTTATTTTTAGAATCGGGATAAAGTTACCTCGCGCGCTGCGTGGATGTTTCGTGGAGGTTTTGCATGACTAAACGCCGTGCAAAACATGTCGGGCGAAAGGCAATGAAAGCGTAAAGAGATCGATAACATTCCTGAATATTGACGCAAAATTAGTCGGCGCTCACCTGGGAAAAGGGAGTCGCTAGACTTTTGACAACCCGTGAAATCAGTTTAACTCGAATTTGTCGTAACCTCAGTGCTTTAATAAAATGAGAAATTTCGCCGGTCTATTGAAACCGGTCGTTTGTACAACAAAGCAAGTAGGACGCCAAGTGTTATTTTCGTTGAATAGTAAAAGACTAATAAAAGAATAAATATCAAACCAGAAATTGCTCTCTTCAAACTGTAAATTATAAATGATCCTGAGAGAATATTCAGCGTGTTAAGGATTTCCCTGCTGTACTGTTGGCTCTATACAAGAGAGGTAGAGCTATTCTTTTTTAATTTCCGTTTCGCTGACACAGCTTTAGCAGAAATCTCTCTGTAGTCGTTTTCGTCGACAAAACGAATAACAGTATCGCTCTCCGAGCCTTTCGCTATTTTGTTCTGCGTCAATTCGTGAAGGACGCGTGGCTCTCAGAGTGGGTCATCCACGCGGAACACATTCGCGCTATGTGATTGGCTGTTGTCTAATCCCCCTTGGGATCTGTGGTCTTAAAAATAACTCGAGGCGAATTACCTATGGAATAGGGTGTGTATGGGGGATGCCTTCTCTGTCCCCTTTATCCTCTCTTGGCCCAAGTCATTGTAGATTGCCAGAAAAACATGCAGTCCACGTGACCAACAGTAAGAGAGCACGCACACCTTTTACTGTAACTATTTAGTTTTACCCAACAACTAGCTAGGCGTTTTTGTCATCGATAAATTGATTTACTTTTCTCGCAATCATAAAGACTTCTGTTTGCTAGAGCCAGTTGGTACAACTTTTTGAAGCAATGTTGTAAAATTATTTATGCTTAGTTTATTTCTGTCCTCTTTTAAAGTATTCTACTGATCCAGAGGTGAAAATGTCAGTTGACGAAACATTCCGGCGGGAATTCCAAAGAGGAAGCTAAAATAATTTTTTCCCTAGAAGGTAGTGGTGCGAACGATAGTTGCTTAACGTTTTCGTTGCGATTTTCTAATTGAATGCCCAAACGCTTAATGTTATGACGTAGAGCTTATAACCCACCATGTTACTAACAAAACAACATGACTTCAACTGAACGAAGCAGATTTAATTAATAGGTACTGTTCCTTCGGTAAACAACATTGTTCCTGAATAGTTCTGCTGCTTTTCACTAAACTCATACTTTAACTCACCAATTCAGTTCAATTCAACTGCGAAATACATTTAAAAAGGCCGTCGAGTGTTTTATCCTATACCGCTTACTACGCCCTTAGCCGGTTACACTGATTTTTTTTTTCTCTTCTGCTGCATTGACAGGCTGCCCTAAAGTTTTACAAGAAGCATCTGATTTATACCAACTATCTACTGTTTTGATGGCTATCCCAGAACACCAAAAGCAAAATGAAGAAATGGAACGTTATACAGATAATATTTTAAATTTCTCTCTCTCTCTTTTCTTAAAAATCAAACGACGAGGTCAGTCATCAAAGTTGAAATCTAGCAGGTCATCTCCTGGTCCTTTCTCACCGCTATGTTTCAAAATCTCTTCCATGCTTGCTTCTTTGATGCCAAACGGTAAATCTTTCCACTTTTTGTACATTCTTCGAGGTTGATCTTTTCCTGGAAACTCCAGAACAAAACTGCAAATTTTGATACACAGCCACTCCACCCCGCTGATAAGAGCTGTAACA